CTCTATCACTTAAAAGAAAAGCACAAAGTTTACTTTCAATCCCATACCAACCAAGAAAGCACAGACTACATCAAGTGAAACTTCAATATCTATAATTACTACAGATTTAAGTTGACAAGAATCCTAATAAAAACTCAACCATTTAGCCAAATTGATCATTTTATCACTTAAAATAATGGTATAAAGCTAATTTTCATTCTCATACCAGCCACGAAACCGCAGACTACATAAAGGGAGACTCGACCTTTTAACTAAGTTGATCCCTTTATCACTTAAAAGGGGTACAAAGTTAATTTTCATCCCCATACCAGCCAAGTAAAATCAGACTACATAAAGGGAAACTTCAATCTCGAGAATCACAACAAAATTATTTTTTTTTATGACAAGGGAACCCGCAACCGCTAGCCTTTGGGTGTGGAAAAGGTAAAACTCCGCTCCTATGCAATAGCTCGCAAATCACATAGGAGAGGTAACCTGCAATAGGTAAGTCCAGTGCAACGAGCTCGATCCTCGATCCAGAAGACAAATCTCTTGCTTTCGCTGGCAAGGGATTTCGAACTTGAGACCTCTTACATGGAAGTCTCAAGACCAAACCACTGGGCCACCCCGAAGGGTAAGTCACAACAGATTTAAGTTAATAATTCCAATAAAGACTTAACCTTTTAACCAAATTAACCCTTTTATCACTTAAAAAAAAGGCACAAACTTAATTTTCATTCCCATACCAACCAAGAAAGCACAAACTACTCAAAGGGATTCAAGTTAACAAGAATGTAAATAAAGACTCAACCTTCTAGCCAAATCAACCCCCTTTTACCACTAAACAAGAAAGGTGAAAAAAACACTTCATTCTCTTATCATAGCAAAAAAACAACAAACTTGACTAAGATAAAGAATGTCAATAAAGATTCAACCTTTTAACCAAATTGATCCCTTTTACCACTTCAAACTCATCATAGCAGAAAAAAAACACAACTTGACTTAAAAAAGAAGAAGAAAGAAATGGCTATACATACAGTGAACCCAAACTGGATTGGACCTAAAGCAACAATCATAACACAAGCAAGAACTGAAACTGAGCTATCACGAATAACTTGAGAAGAACCCAACATGCTAGAAGTTTGTGCTGAACCCATTCGATACCAACTTCCAGTATGTAAAAATGGCTTCCTCAGATCCCCTCCTCTACCATCTTCACTATTTTCTTCTCTGAAACTCATTTTTTTTTTCAAGAATTCAAAAACCCCAGATGGGATTTCCCAGTAATAGATCAGAAATGCAAAGTTCTTGGTAATCAGACAAGTAAAATCGTCATTGGGATGCTCCAATTAGCAAAAAAATGGTGTTTTGTCGTTTTAAGATGACAGGTATTTGCTGTAAGATAACTAGAAAGAGAGAACAGAGAATATTCTTCTTTTTTCTTTTTTAATTTCATTTTTTAAATTCAAAACTTTTAATTAAAAGCTAAAAAGGACGAATATTATACTAGACTCAAATTTAGGCGTTAATAAGATGATGAAAGTTCAAAATAGTCCCTTAAATATACATCGAAATGGTTTTAATCCTTTAAGGATTAAAAGACAATAATTGTTTGTTACGACTTTGAATTTATATTCAAAAATAAAGACATTATATATCTTTTTTTCACGTGTAGGAATCATGCATTTAGTCTTGTTTTTTCTTTTATCTTGTCTAATAAAAATTACGTTCATTTTATTTTGAATATTTTTTCATTCGTAATCATTTCTCTCCTAATGTATTCATTTATACATCTCAAATTTTCGCTATTTCCATCTTATAAATGTGAGTTTTTGAACGGTCCATACTCTGATCTAATTTTTACCTATATGACGTTGTTTAATGTTGAGTAACACCATTTTATAAAACTTACATTTAAATCCCATTATTGTCACACGAGACTTCGAATTCTCTATTTATTTAACTCATTCGAATATAATGTGTAACATTACGGTCATCTTCAATTTCGTTGATATTAACTCAAGATACTTAAAACTTTTTCCTTTGAAAATGATTTGTGTGTCAATCCTCACTCCTACGTATGTATATGTCTCGTGAAATTATGCCACTAGTTTCACCTTTCAAGTACTATATCTTTTTGTTCAACCTGTATTCTTTAAGCTTCATATTTTGTCTCTAAAACCTCTTGTTTATTATCTAGTATCTCGATAATTAATACTATATCATCAACAAAAAACATACATCTATGATATCTCCTCTCGAAAATACCTCATTAGATCATTTATACCAAGATAAATATATGTTAAAAGTTAATCCCTGATATAACTCCATCATGATTGTGAGTGATTAGAGTCTTGTCCCATTATCCTCACCAAGTCTTTATTTCTATCATACATATCTTAATTACTTACCCTAATTAAGTTATAATTATTACCCTTAGCCTCCGAATATTTTCATAAAATACTATTATCCTAAACTTTTTCATGGTCTAAGGAAAAAGAAATTTTTAAAAGAAGACCTGATAATTATATCATGTAATTAATTGCTAGAAATTCTCAAATAACTAATTTCTATCAATTTTTATACTCCTTTAGTCCCTTTAAAATTGAAAAAAAAAATGTACTTACTACTCAAATACATTCGATTTTATTGTGATCAAATAATTACTCTGCCAGCTCATTAGTTGTTCAACAATTTGAACAAAAACTGATCGAATAAAAAGTTAATATATCGGTCCAATTATAATTATTCACTATTAATTTGATAAAAAATTTAAAAAACAAAAAATGATAGAAATAATTTTACCAAATCATCTTTGCTAAATATTAAAAATTGAAAATGGCATATATTACATTGACGTATTTTTTTTTAATTCAAGAGTTTTCATTTTGAATACTCTTAATTGAAATCCTATATTATATATAAGTTTAAAACAATTTTTTTTAGAGATAGGTATTAAAATTTTGAGCATCTTTTATAAAAAAAAATAACTTTGTCATTGTTCTTGTATTTTTTTTAAATTAATATATACATGAACAAATTAAAAAATAGTGGACCTAATTGGACCCATTGTCCATTTATTTAATCTTAATATTAAATAAATATTTGTGGTCCTATATATTGAGAGGATTGATAGGCAGTCACGTAGTTTTTTAAATTTTTTTATTTATTCATTTATTTGTTTTTTTATTGGAGATCTTGTTTTTCTCTCTCCAATCACATATAGATGGCATAAATGTTCCAAATATATTATATACATTTTCAATTCAAATTTTTTAAAAACTTTTTGTATATATTTTTATACGATCATTATGTAGATAAGTTAATCATTTAATATATATTATTTTCTTTGGATATACGAATTAACCTTTCCAAACCAATCAAAAGAGGAAGCAAGAAGAGGACAGAACACATTTTTGTTTTACTTTCTCATCTGATATTTGATATTTATATAGTGGGGTTCGATAAATATGAATCATTTAACAAACGTTTAAAAGGAAAACACTTTGTAGGAAGATTATTTTTTTTTCCGGCTAGAGTTAAAACCCAAAGCTATTGGTTTAAAAAAAAATATAAGGCTCGATTTATATCTTAATAAAATACTATACAATATATTTATCAAAATCTACAGTACATTATAATACGATGAGATACGTAACAAACTACCCAAACAACAAAAATCTAGAAAAATTGAATCAAGTTAGCCTTTTTTCTTGACTTCATCTCCCTCACGTAACCTAATTAGTGCATTTTCTAACAATATCCTTATCTTATTTCATCTTTTGTGTGTGTGTTTATTTCCATATTTGTAGCCAATATTTATCCAATTATTTAAGATAACTCCAATTTTAAAAGGAATAGGAATTCAATTAAAACGGTATAAAATTTTGAGATTGCTAGGCCAAATTTAGACAAAAATACTTAGCTTTTTTTTTTAACACAAGTTGTATATCAAATTTCAAAAAAATATAAAATTGTAACTACAAGCCGATTTTTACGACTTCATTTGAATATAAAAGTGGCTAAATTTGTAAATTAGAAAAAAGTTTATGTTCTGCCTATGACTTAAATAATGTCCTAAAATTGGCTATATGTGTACATTGTCCTTATTCACGGCCCATTTATGATTTTAGATTGAAAGCCCATTTAGCCAACCATTGGCCCAGCCCATACAGAGATTAGTTTGCTTCTTGGGCTTACTGGATCTAATCAGTTATTGTATCACTGTGTATAGTAGATACAATAGTTATGTTTGTTGAGTCGCATAATTTTTTGATTAATTAATACGAGACATATCTTATATTCGCTCTTATCAGTTATCACTAAATCATAGTTAAGTAATATATAATGGCTTTTTACTTTATATTGTCTTACAGTCTAATATATATGTCGAAGAGCGGATTTTCTACAAGACCATGCCTAAGAGTTCACATCCACGGGAAGGTTCGATATTCGATGTCGGCTCTTCACCACATGGAGTTGTACTATGTTTCAAGGTTTGGGTTATTTCCCAATAAAAATAGTACGTTATTTGGGTTTAGAACATCGTAAGACAATTTGATTCATATCCAATGTAGACGTTAGAGCATTGAACGGAACTTTTTCTAGTACGGCAAGTTTTAAAAGGACGCACCTCTAGCGTATCATAGATTAGTATGATTAGTGTAAACACTAGTGCAAGTAAGAATGAGGTTCAAACTTAATTAGACCTCGATCAAAGTACGATAAATATTTACACATATCAAAAATTTGTATGAAAATAACTACTTGACAACTAAGAAAATTGATTTACTTGAATTATAGATTTGTATTTGACTGTTTTTTTCTCATTGATTTTAATTCTAAAGTAAAGAGTAGTGTGTTTCACTTGGTACCCAATCTTAAATAAATTTTTAAGAGAAACACAAACTTCAAATTAAAGTTATTGATTCAACTGAACTCATACCGTCAACTCTATACTCATATTTTGATGAATCTAAATCGAATTTCGAAAAGACAAAAGTTCAAAGAAAAGGAGAATATTAAGTAAGCATGGTATTATTTGCGTTCATGTTATACATTTTAACAACAAAAGCAAAGTACTTTAATACATATTAGCATAAAATAGACATGGATTAATTTTTGTTTGCATTTTATAGTAATGATAATTAGATGATATTATACATCGATACAATTTTCTTCTTGCTATAACCTCAGATTCTGCATAAGCCTGTTCAAGAGAAATCATTAAAAAAAAAGTTAATTCAAAGAATATTTACACTATTAAACATTGACTTAAAATATTAGGCAAACAACGTGTCAACATGTTAAATAACGCTTATATTACAAAATATTTTTAACCTTATTGGTATTTTTATTTTTATGAAAAAAAAAGAAGACAGATTAAGTGTATAATATAAAAAAAAATGTGACTAATACAAGTGTTGTTGATTGTTTCCATATTAGGTACAAAAAGTTACCTTAATATGTGTTACATCATGTGATGATATACTTATTAAAGACAAAGATATAATTGTTAAACAATTTTATTTTGTATAATAATGTGGTCAGAGATTAATTAAGATGTAGGACAATATGCATGTGGTCTAAAATAAAGTGGGATTAGATTTCATGTGGGTTACTTAATTAGAGCTTAATTAAACAACTAGGATTAAATTTCATGTGGGATTGCTTAATTAGGAGCTAAACTATTATAAGTAACATTTATAGCTTCCTAATATAGTAAAATATCAAACAATCCAGAAGTTTCTAAGTACTTTATTAAACTTAAATATGTCTTTAATTAGCATAACTATAAACATTCAAGTAATTTACATTTATAGTAAAAATAATAATATTCTCTCCGTCCTTATTTACTCGTCATTTTAGAGAAATCAAGAAATGATAAAAAAAATTCTTTATATTATATTTTCAATTTATTAACATTGAGTTAATGTCTTTAAAAAATGTAGTAAGTAAATATATTTAAGACTTAATTAATTAATAGTATGACAAACTCAATATACAGATCATTATTCTCTTAATCGGCTGTGTGTCAAGTCAAAATTTAATAAGTAAAAAGAAACAGAGGGAGTATATACAACATGAAAATATATTAACACTATTTGATCTCTTGAGATAATTACTAGCTTTTTTCCCAGCATGATCGAGCTCTTTAAAACTGTTATCATTCATATCATTTTTTAAAAAATAAACTACTTATAAAGAATTCGATATGCACCCTTTGATATTCATTTAAGAGTCCAAATAATATAGATATATTACAGATAATTTCCCATAACATGGAAGATAAGACGAGTAACATATATGACATGTTAAAAAATTTACGATGTATGTTTCGTTGTCAGTGAATATAAATTAAATACGATAAAATTAACAATACCTTTGTTCATTGGAATAACTTCTTCCATTGCTACTAGCACCCCTATAATTAGGCAAAGGAACTTGATCATTTTCTATTTGCATGACATCTTTTACAAGCAATTCATAGTGTCTCTTCACTTCCTCTGCTGATTTTCCACCAACACACCTAGCAATATTATGCCACCTATCTGGAGTGTCTTTGTCAAATAAAGCCAATGCCTCCTCAAATTTCTTGTTTTGGTTTTTTGTCCAATTGGCCATTGTGTGTTGAGAAGTAATTGGAAGAAGGAGAAGAAGTTCTAGAAGAAAGTAGTGTACTAATTAAGTCAAGGGGATTGTATGGACAAGATAGGTAAGCTTTGTTATTTATAGGGATGGAGGAGGAAGGTATCTAAGGTGTGGTCTGATCCTTAATGAAATGAATAAAAATATGATAAGGTTATTTTTTAAATTTCAATAGAGACTATAATAATATTATATTTCGTATAATTTCATAATTTTAATAAGGTCTAAAAAAATAAAGTGTATATACAGATATTATTCCAAATTTCGGAGAAAAAAAGTTATGTCTCTTGAAAATACCTAAAGAGACAAACAAATAAATATGTTATGTCTTTCAGTTTGTCTAGATTTTGATAGATAAAATTAACTAAAATCTATATTGGTGATAGTAGATGTAGATTCAAATTTTGTGTTTATAGTTTTTTAAAAGGAAAATGCACAAGTAGCCCCTTAACCTATGCCCGAAATCCCAGAGACACTTATATTATATTAAGATCCTATTACCCCTGAACTTATTTTATAAGTAATTTTCTACTCCTTTTAGGCCTACGTGACACTAGTTTGAAAGAAAAAGTCAATCAGTGTTGGGCCCACAAGATAGTGCCACGTAAGTCGAAAATGGGTAGAATATTATTAATAAAATAAGTTCAGGGGGGTAATAGGACCTTTGTATAGTATAAATGTGCCTCTGAGATTTTGGGCATAGGTTGAGGGGTTACTTGTGCATTATCCCTTTTTTAAAAAGATAGCTTTTTATGTTCTGAATAAATTTTGTATATATATTCAACAAATTTCTCAATACAATATAATTGGCCAAATTTTTTTTAAAAAAAACAAATTTCATTCAACACACTACAAAAACTTTATCTCAGCCTCTAATAAAGGTAACAATTAATTCATGAAATAGTCGACGTGTAAACAATTTAGCATATAGAAATACTTTACTATTATGTAGTAATTTATTTTATTATAAATATATGATGCAACCGCTGAGATACATATAAGGTGTTTAGCTCAAAATTCAAAGTGAGAACAAGAATTTGAATCTTATGAATTTAATATTTTTATTTAAGTAATTGAATACTGAATTAATAAATATATAATTTAGATCAAATATACTAAATTCAATTAAATCCATAAACATAACTCTAGCTCCACTTCTCCGCCCCTAGTTTAGACACCACTCTCAAAAGAAAAAAAATTAAAAAAAGAGAGGGAAGTGTTGGGAGTAGCAAGTTGGGGGAATCTCTTTTTAATTTTCTAGGAGGGGATCTAGTTATACATAAATGTGATTCTTGTCAGCAATATGAAATGAGACTAATGGAAAGATGCATGTGGAGGATAAAGTATTTTGGAGTATCTTTCTTTGCTTTTTATAGTATCATCATGAGCAAGTGGATCACCTAGGAAATTCACCTAACTAGTTGATACATAGGATTTAAATCCATAATTTTATTTGTGCTGACACGTTAAAGTGTGTGATCATTTAAATTCATAAAATCATGCTTATACAATATCGTTTTATCGATGTCAACTCTCTTTCTACTCAATTTAAGATTTACTTGGATAAAAACAAATTGACTCTCTAGAGTCTAGCCTCTATATATTTATTTATTTTTGAAAGTTTTGTTGACCATAGTTTAAGAAAGAGAGAATTATAAAAGATTTCTTAGTGGCTTAGGATTAATGGATGGATATTAAGTAAAACTTTTATCCATAATCAACAATATCATTCTGCACCATCTATCTAGATTGAGTAGACTAAATATTATATATTTTGTCCGTTTAATAATAATTGTTCACTATATTATTTTGAGATGTCTAATAATATTTGTTTATTTTATGAAATCAATGAATAGTTTTTCACTTAGTTCCAAATCGATCCTTATCATTAATAATAATTATTTTTCTAGATATTATATTTATTCTAGGGAAAATGGTCTGATATACCCCTCAACTTTGTTATTTGGAGCTGATATACCCCTCGTTATAAAAGTGGCTCATACATGCCCTTACCGTTATACAAACGGCTAACATATATCCCTGCCATTACAAAATGGCTCACATATATCCTTCATTTAACGGAAGTTAAAAAATTAGTTTTAAATTTATATTTATTACTTCAAAAAAATTTTAAAAAATTATTTAGGGGTATATATGATTCTTCT